CTGGTCAACAGGGTGGTACAATTTTCCAGCTCTCTTGCCTCAATTTGAAAGATTTCTGGAAGCCTATTTCAGCCTCTGAGCTCTGTACAAAATCTCCTGAAGCCTCTGTTGTGGTTTTCTTGCAGGTAAAATTCCACCCCTGCCCAGTCCTACATCCTCATGCTTTTATAGGTATTGTTATGCCCACAGTATAAATCTATGTGCAGATCCTCAGTTTAGAGGCTATTTCTACACTACCCAACTCATAGTACGCTTAAAATTAAGAACAATCTGAATGTCCATCGAATAACACAGAGGATCAGATTGTGAAGGTAGCCTTCCTTGAATTAGAGTTCTTACACACTTTGTAATTATACAATAATTTCAAATTATATGTTTAAAATTCACATGAAAAGAAGGCAGAGGTCCAGGAACTCTTGCAAGGTTTCCTAGGTCCTTTTTTGTATCATTGGACATACTCAGGCTTTGGGTAACAGATGTAGTTTCTAGGTGAAGTATAAGGTCAGCTCACCTATGCAAAAGTAGTAATTTAGGTAATGAAATATCCACGGTTTATACTCAGATAATTGCATTGCTTATGTCACATTTTAAGGGAGCCATGTCCTATAAATCCATAGATCCCAGATGTGTTAACAATAAGGAACCCTAGACAAGCAGCCACAATGGACTAAAAGTGTTTCATAGATAAGTAATCTCTTGACAGGAAAAACAAACAACAACAACAAAAATTCTTTTTTGCCAGGAGGTCTGACATTATTATGCTTACAAGGTGATTAGACCGGGACAGCTGTCATCTTTGTTTTGCGGGGAAAAGAACAGAACAGATCACAAACCTGATGCTTACATTTTTACCCTCTATCACCAGAATGGATTAATACATTGTGATATACTCGCAATTAGGCTATCAAAAAATAAAGAAAACGAGGGCCGGGCGCGGTGGCTCAAGCCTGTAATCCCAGCACTTTGGGAGGCCGAGACGGGCGGATCACGAGGTCAGGAGATCAAGACCATCCTGGCTAACACGGTGAAACCCCATCTCTACTAAAAAATACAAAAAACTAGCCGGGCGAGGTGGCGGGCGCCTGTAGTCCCAGCTACTCGGGAGGCTGAGGCAGGAGAATGGCGTGAACCCGGGAGGCGGAGCTTGCAGTGAGCTGAGATCCGGCCACTGCACTCCAGCCGGGGCGACAGAGCGAGACTCCGTCTCAAAAAAAAAAAAAAAAAAAAAAGAAAAAAGAAAATGAATGACAACAACATTGACAACCTAGATGAATCTTATGAGCATAACATTAGATGAAAGGAACAAGACACAAAGTGATATACACTAATTTGTTCCATTTATCTATACATTTAAAGACAGGCAAAACTTAACTATATATTAGCAGTCAATGTGGTACTGGTATAGTGTGAATAATTATGTCCCCTCCAAAATGATAATTGAAACTTAATCCTCAGTGCTGTATTAAGAGATGTGACCCTTGGGAGGTGACTAAATCTTGAGGGCTCTGCTCTCATGAATGGGATTAAAACTCTTACGGAAGTGTTTGAGATTCAAGGAAACTGTCTCTTGCCCCTTCAAACCCTTCCACCGTGTGAGGACACAGCTTTCCTGCCCTGTGCAGGATGCAGCAACAAGGTGTCTTCCGGAAGCAGAGAGACTGGCTCCTCACCATCCAGCACCTTCATCTGGGACATTCTAGTCCCAAGAACTGTGAGAAATAATTTTCTGTTGTTTATAAATTACCAGGTTTCAAGTGTTTTGTGACAGCAGCACAAATGGACTAAGACCTTTGGAAATAATAAGTGTAATGATTGAGAGGGAGTACAAAGAGTTTCAAAGGAACTGATTCATGACTGGGGTATGGCTGTTTTATGAATATTCACTTCTGACAAATTCACTCAGGTATACATTAATGATTTGCGCAATTTTTATTTATAGAAAACATTTTAAAAGCATAAAGAGAATATCTGATGTGAATGTCAATCTTTAATAGAAGTCTATTTTCTTATATCCTTACTTACAAAAAGAATACCACGCTTACAGAATTTTACATAGGATTCCTACACAATATTTATGAAATTGTTCATTCCTATATCAAACAATCTCTTCCAGAAAATAAAGATAGAATACTCACAAAAATATATTAAAAATATAATTTTACTTGTATATCAACATTATAGATAGGCAAAGGAAGTAAAATTTTATGTCAACATCACAAATAAGCATAATACATAGATGCCAAAATCTATCTTAAAAATAAAAATTAGAAAATTAAAACCAGAATAAAAAGTAATCTCTCTTTCTCTTCATATATTTTGTATATATACACAGAGATATACATTCATTTGTACTCATATGCTTCTCACCTGCCTATGTTTATTAGTGTGTATAATATATATACATATATAAGCATATATATTCATGTCTATGTACATATACATATGACTACTTTATATCTAAGAAATTATGTAATATTTATAATATTATACATATTATATATATGTATACAAAGACATAAAAATGGAGACAGATTAGGGAGAAGAGAGACAGACAAGCACATATTAGAACTTGATATACGACAAAGTTGTTAATGTTCCTGACAGGTTTTTTGGAATATTTATCTGGACTGTAAAACAGTATCTTTATTAGTTTCCAGAAAAATAAATTGTTATAATTGTGAACTGTGATATTTCAATTATTTAGAAAAAGTATAAATTATATTCTAATTTTACAGAAATTAGAATCAGAACTTTTTTCTACAAAAGACGAGATAGTAGATAGTTTAGATATTGAAGACCAAGAGAAAAAATTTGAAGATTTCATGTATACCCGTTTATATAAGAGAGAAAATGAGTTCCTATGAACTATTGAATAAACTTTTTTTTGTAATACATATCTACTAATGAGAATAACACGATTCTTTTCTTCCTTCTTCCTTCTTTTCTTTTTTCCTTTCAGATATAGTTTGGCTGTGTGTCTCTGCCCAAATCTCATGTTAAAATGTAATTCCAAATGTTGAAGGTGGAGTCTGGTGGGAGGTGACTGGATCATAGGGGCAGATTTCTCATGAGTAATTTAATACCATTCTTTTGGTGCTGTCCTCATGATAGTGAGTGAGTTCTTACGATATCTGGTTGTTTAAAAGTGTTTGGCTCCTTCTCTGTCTCTCTTGCTCCTGCTTTCACCAAGTGAAATGCCTGTCCCAACAGGATTGCCTTCTGCCATGTATATAAGTTCCCTGAGGCCTCCCTAGAAGCCAAAAAGATGCCAGCATCATGCTTCCTAGACAGCCTGCAGAACTGGGAGCCAGTTACATATCTTTTCTTTATAAATTACCCAGTCTCAGATGCATACTTATAGCAATGAAAGAATGGTCTAGTACATTCTGTCTTTCTTTTTGCTTCATTGAAACTCAAAATTTGTGTTCCATATCATAAAAATCTATTGCAAGTATTCATTTATTAATGTTGATCTGTGATTAGATTTTTCTTAATTTTTTCTATGAAAATCTGTCCTCATGGAGATAACTACTGTGAAATGTTGGTATCGATCAAGAGGCATATGCTTTTAATTGAGCATATTTATAGACTTCTATTAGGTTGTTGTTCTAATATTTGCTTTTTATCATGTCGTTACATTGGAAATCACTTCCAATTAAAGGTTGTAGGAAGTAAGTCGATTTTATAATTAAATTCATCTTGAAATATAAACATTTTTCTTTCAATTTTCACTGAAGTCTTGAAAACACTGTTAAAATGGTAATTTGAACCCACAAAATTTATATACTAAAAAATTGTGTGCAAGTGTAGATTTTGCTTCTTATTTTGACAGTACAGACAGTGTAAAAGCGTAATTCTGTGTTGTTTTCAAAAATCATTTCAGCATATTTATGTTTCTTATAAAAGCACTGTTTTGTTAAATTAATTAATTAACATGGCTAAGTATACAGCAAGAGCTAATTTTTAAAATCAAACACTATTTTATAACAGTGGTTGAAGGAAGTTCTTCTCCTTCAAAAAACAATACAACATGTGCTGTAGACATAATGCTTATACACCAAACACTATTTTATAACAGTGGTTGAAGGAAGTTCTTCTCCTTCAAAAAACAATACAACATGTGCTGTGGACATAATGTTTATACACCCCCAAAAACTCATATATCAAAACCACATACTGTTTTTGTAAAGGTGATACCTTTGGTAGGTGATTAGATTAGGAGAATGGAGCCCTTGTGAATGACATTAATGTCATTTGAACAGATACTCCAGAGAGTTCTTCTGCCCACACGGCCATGTGAGGCCAGAGACAAGATGGGGGCAGTCTATCAACCAGGAAGCGAGCCCTCACCAGATACTGAATGTGTAGGTACCTTGATCTTGGATTTCCCAGCCTCCAGAACTATGAACCATAAATTTCCATTGCTTATAAGTTGTTAAGTGTATAGTATTCATTTCTAGCAGCCCAAACTGAGTAAGACGATTTCTATCCTTAGTATGGAGCAAGATTGAGGTGATATATTTTCATTAGAAATAATTATGGTAGGTATTCAAATAGTTAATTATTTCAGAATTATCATTGGAAGACAGAAACACTGTATTACTCATAACAAGAACAGTTTCTATTTGCTGAATGATTTTACTGTATGTCATGACTAATTTTACCTGTCAACTTGAGTGGACTAAGCTATGCCCACACAGCTGGTAAAACGTTATCGCTTGGGATGGCTTTGAGGGTGTTCCTGGAAGATATAAGCATTTAAATTGGCAGACTGAGCAAAGCAGATAGCCCTTACCAATATGGGTGGCATCATTCAACCAGCTGAGGGTCCAAATGCAACAAAAGATAGAAAAAAATTACTATCACTTCTGTAGCTAGAACATCCATTTTCTTTAATCCTCAGACCTCAGAGCTCCACATTCTCAGCTCTTTGGACTCTGGAATGTACACCATTATTGCTCCTTATTCTTAGGCCTTTACTCTTCGATCAGGACTGACATCATCAGGGTCCTTGTTCCCAGGTCTTTGAACTAAAACTGAATTATACCTCCACTTTTACTGGTTCTTCAGTTTTCAGACAACTTATCACTGGATTTGTCAAGTCTTCATAATCACAAGAGCCAATTCCCATAATAAATCCCCTCATATATTTATGTAAGTCCTATTGGTTTTGTTCTTTGGAGAATGTTGACTAATGCAATGCATATATATAAATTACATGTTTTTCAAAAATTTTAAAAAATGATTATCCTGTAGTAATAATGAGAATGATGTCAAGGGCAGTAATTTCTTATTTACTAAGAATAAGTGATTTTATTTGAACAATAGTATGAACAGAGGAAAGAAAATTTTATTCTGAATGGACGCTTGTTTACTCATTATTATTTCCAATTCTTCAGAAAACATTGAAAGGTAGAAGGAAAAACAGTATCCCCAAGGAGATGAATTTGTTCTTCTGGGTTTTGTTGTTGTTACTGTTTTGTTCTTTTTCTACAAAGAAGTAGAATTATCTCAGGTAATATAGTCAAAATAATAATAATAAAATTGGAAGACTATTATATTTTTTAGCTAACCACTGGAGTTTTGCAGGTCTTTGAATTAAATTGGTGTGTTCAAGTGAAGTAGCTTTGTGTAGTGATTTATTATAAATATTAATATTGCCAAAAATGTTTTTCAGACTTTTAATTTTTACCAAAAATATATTTTATCTTCTCTCTCCCAGATTAATCACACATTTATATCTCATTAGTAATACTAAATATAGTTTTATTATTTATTATAACTTTTTTTCTATTCTATTCATACTGTTCTAGATTCTATTTAGGTTTTTCCAATCTTTATTATTATTATATTTTTGCAAGAGTGAAGAAGGGATGTAGTTATAAATAAATCCTGGTGGAAAGATTTCTTGGTACATTGGTATCACATTAACTAATGTGTTAGTTAACGTGATGCCATTTACAAGTTTTCCTCTTTATAAAATTGTACTTTGATAGTTCCATCTAACCCTCATTCACATTCTAACATTTCCACAATTACTATTTTTATATTTTTAATACATATCTTTAGACATGTTTGAATCCTAGAAAAAGTACATAAAATTATCCACACATTATTTAATCAGGTGTAATAACATTATGCTGTAGGTCATACCTTCCTTTTGATTTAAGTCTGTGTTTTCAAACGTATATTTTTTCCTGTATTTAAATGTAGCATATTAATTTTGAGTGGTCTATAGTAATCCATCATATGTACATATCATCTTTATTTATTTTCTTATTGATAAACACCTCAAATGCTACAACTAATGTGTTGCAATAAATATCCACCTGTCTGTTCCCTTATGAAACTTTTCATTATATATTCAGAAATAAGTACTTGAGTCCATTTCCTGGATATAGAATATTTACATAGTTAATTTCAATAAAAACTACTAGAATGCTATCTAGAATGGCTGACCAAGTTTATAGTCCCACACTAAATGGAAATCATTCCAATTTTCTCTTACACACATCAATATACTTAGTTGGATACCATTTTTAAATGTTACCAAAAAACTACGTGTACATTTAAATTTCATCATTTTTATTATTGTTTTAATACTGTTCTATCACTAAAATGCATTATAAATCAGTAAAAGAGGATTAATTGTTTCAAATTGTATAAATACGTATAGAGAAATTAAACATACTTGTCACAGACTGAGAGACTCTATTGGTGATGTCTAAGATCTGCGAGAGACTGATACTGAGAAAGACCCTCTTTTCTGACCAAAACTTTAGGCAACCTCCTCTGAGTCCTCTGCTTAAGTTGATCTGAGCTTGAGCTTCCTACTTGTCCTTGTAGATTCCAGTTTGAGTAAGAGTTCTGCTAAGTCAGTTTAGGGAAGTACTCGTTGGTATCTGACCACTTTCCATATCTACTCACCCTTATCTACCTTGGGCAATAATCTTGTCAAGTCAGTTTAGCCAGGACCCCTTGTTCTTGATGTTTACTCTTAGTAATTTTCCATCCACTGACCACACCCCCACAACCCTGTTCCTTGTTTTCAAATCTCCACTTGTCCTTGTTGGAGTTGGAGTTATGTTTCTGTCATCCACTGGTCCACTGGAAGACATCATTCCAGTGGTCCATATACTCATCACAAGGACCCGATTAAAAAAAGTCTGTATTACCATCTTTAACAAATCTTATAAATAATATTTTTAAACAATACTACTAGATAATAAGAACTTCAAGTCAATAAGAAAGAACATGTAAATACAGTAAAAGTTTGGCACAGATGTGTATAGGCAATTGTTGGAGAGAGAAATCTGACTAGCTAAACTTATTACACAATCCTACCAGTATAAAGAAAAAAAGAAATTACAACAAAAAATAAAATCTAATACATTTGCATCAAGAGATGAAGAGTTCTCATTTTATTAAATTAATAAAATAATTAAGAATATAAATAAGATATAATGATGTTAATATATATTATTTCTTATTTGTATAAATTTACAGGGCACAAGTGTAATTTTATTACATGTACAAATTGCATAGTGATCAAGTCAGGACTTTTAGTTATCATGATCTAAATCTAAAAATGGCAAGATAGTCCCAAGATGTGTACTCTTGATTATTATTGTCCAATTAAGAATTAATACTGGCTGGGCTCAGTGACTCACGCCTGTAATCCCAACACTTTGGTAGGCTGGGGCAGGTGGATCACTTGAGGCCAGGAGTTTGAGACCAGCCTGGCCAATATAGTGAAACCCCATGTCTACCAAAAATACAAAAATTAGCCAAGCGCAGTGGTGCACACCTGTATTGCCAGCTACTTGGGAGGGGAGGCAGGAGAGTCGCTTGAATCCAGGAGGCGGAGGATGCAGTGAGCCAAGAGCATGCCACTGCACTCCAGCCTAGGCAACAGAGTGAGACTGTCTCAAGAGAAAAAAAAAAAAATAATACCAAGGTGTACTTTTCTTTTTCTCTACTAATCCTTAAGACTTAAGACTTGTTGTATGTACCTTCTAGTACACTAAACATGTTTGAGCATATAGGTACACTAATATGTACACAAAGATGATCTTCAAAACACTTTATTTTAAAAGTGTGTGTACAAAATCATATTTATGTACATTGATCTAAATTCCATCTGAGCATATTTTTCTCTTCATTGTCATCAAATTAGTCTATGACCGTTAACTTCTGATTTTTGAGACTTCTGATTTTTAGCTTTGTCAGTTACTGCTATTATCTGCAAACTGCAATAATGGCAACCAGATTTAGGATTTGCAGAATGTGACAATGAAACACTGTTTTATTTAAAACATTAAGTAATTAAGTGTTTTAATAAAACATGCCGTTCCATACATGCATGGTTAATTCTGTGGTATTAATGATTTATGCATACTCAAAACCAGTTGATATTTTCATAATTTTAACTGTATAGTTATGTATGACCTTTATTTAAAATCTTACTATTACTGTCATTATTGATTTCCATTTTAAGGTATACCTTAACCTTAACTTATCCGAAATAAAATCAAGATGAATTTTAAATACCTATAAAGGCTAAAATCTATTTCAAGGTTAATTAACAGAAGGGCAATCACAAAACTGGAAGAAAATTTGATAAAATGTGAAGGTGGCACAAGAGAGGAGGGATGATAATAGAATTGCACTCGTACATCCTGTACCTCTTGGTCCAGGTCTTTCTGACCCTCCTTTTAGACTGATCATTGGTATATCTGTTCCAATTATCAGGCAAATGACTTCAGTCTATGATCAATTGTATGTAGACAATGGATCTGTCTTCAAGAACTAGTGGATTTTGTGGTGATTTTTACTGTGTTTGGTTTGTTTTATATTGTTCCCTTCGGTCTGTCCTATTTTGTTTTATTTTACAGACTGGTATTGTTTTGATATATTGTTGTTGTTGTGCAACATCTGAAAATAAATTTACAGCTCAGAGAAAATAGATTTAAACTTCTGAGAGGAATATCAAAGTCTTAAAAGGTCACAGACAATATCGGCTAGAGCTTTGAAAATGTTGGAACAAACACTGTGTTCTTTTAATTTGCAAAGCATAGACAGGGGATCTGTTCTGAATCAGATCCTTTGGTGATGGAGGACGATGTGCACTGAGTAAGACGAATGGCAACTGGCGGATATATTGTGGCCGAGGCTGGCCCTGTAGAAAAGGCATCAAGATAGACAGCAGCAGGCCTCAAACTTTCCTGACAGCATATGCTTCCTGAGTAACATTCTTTCTTCTGAATCTTGGATTTAAATCCTGGGAGTCAGGCAGGAGAAAAGACTTAGTCTCTTTGGGGTTCTAGTCCAATCTAGCCACCTCATCCAATTCTTTATTTCATATGCAACATGCCTGCTATCCTCTTTGCAATACCTTCGATGATTTTCTGTTTTCAGGAAGATGGTAAAAATATTGTATTATTTTCTTTTTCTTTTTTCTTTTCTTTCTTTTTTTTTTTTTTTTTTTTTTTTTGAGACAGAGTCTCACTCTGTTGCCCAGGTTGGAGTGCAATGGTGGGATTTTGGCTCACTGCAACCTCCACCTTCTGGGTTGAAGCGATTCTCCTGCCTCAGCCTCCTGAGTAGCTGGGACTACAGGTGCAAGCCACCACGCCCAGCTAATTTTTTTTTTTTAATTTTATTTTTAGTAGAGACGAAGTTTCGCCACGTTGGCCAGGGTGGTCTCAGTCTCTTGACCTGGTGATCCACCTTCCTCAGCCTCCCAAAGTGCTGGGATTATAGGTGTGAGCCACCGAGCCTGGCCCAAATGTTGTGCTATTTTCTAAAGCAAAGAGAGAGAAAAAGAAAAAGAGTACGTTTTCTTATTGTCTTAGTGTGTTTTGTGTTGCTATAGCAGAAAACCTGAAACTGGGTAATTTATAAAGTAAACATGATTTTTAGCCTATCGTTCTGCTGGTTGAAAAGATCAAGAGCATGGCTGTGGCTTCTGGGGAGGGCTCTCCTGCTGTGTCATAGCATAACAAGAAAGGTCAAAGGGGAAGCTGACCAGTGTGAAGTGAGATAAACAAACGGAACAGGGGGAACCTTCACTTTATAACAACCTGCTGTCAAATGAAATCATCCATTTTTGTGAGAAGCACTCTTTTCTTGTGAGATTTAGGACTCTCCTACTC